GTGCCCATTCCTCGGTACCATGGGCGCCTCCCGGTGCCTGCAGGCGCCAGGGAGCCCAGTTGTGTAAAGGCTGATTCCACACCCTACCGTTAAGTCTGGCATGTCCTTCTACAGGAGGAATGTGCAAAAATAGTTCAACAATAGTCTGGTGACGATGGTTCGACTATTTTGATTTTGTCTGAGCATATCTTGCCTATTTGTCATTTTTCTTTCAGAACCTGCCTGTAGGAGGACATGCCCGACCTAACCCTACCCTTAGCTATCCTACCCTTCAGCCCCCCCCCCGATCGAGGGGGTACCTTCCCCAGGCCCACGACGTCGTGTTTTTTTTTGCACGTCGACACCCCAGAGGTCTGGACCCTTTCCCTGGGATCGGTCTTTCATCCCGAGTCGTCTTTTGACGATCCCGAGGCCAGTACCTAAGGGACCCCGGAGGCTGAAAATAGCGAACCCTCCCCGTAGTGTTTTTTCGCAGCGCGATTCTCGTCGCCCTTTGGTCCCCCCCGATTCTCGTCGCTCAGCTGGAGCTGGGCACGGCTCGGCCGACCTCGACTCCACTCGGCACGAGCTTAAGGCGGGCATGTCCTTCTACAGGAGGAATATTCGAGAATAGTAACAAGTAGTCTGGTGACGATGTGTCGTGTTTTGACAAGTTGTGATTTGTTTCGTCACGTTGCATCTTCGGGGGACCTCGCCTGTCCCCCAAATTGGTGTCTTTTTTTGTGCCTGGCGGGGCTCGATGCGACATCCACGCGGATTTGGCGTGGATGTGACGCGGATTCGGACTGGATCTGACACGGATCCGACGAGTCCGACATGGATTCGACACGGATCCGACGCGGACGGGGCCGCGCCGGGACGGACAGGGTCCCCCGAGGATGCAACATAGTTTCGGGGGCCCCCAAAAGGTGTGGTGACCACACCGTGCGGTGAGTCGGTGGGGATTCGGGGTCACCGCACGGTTTTGGGACTCGAGTCCCTCTCCGAGGATGTCTCGGGCGACAGGGGCCTCTAGGGTCCCCGGTGACCGACCGTGCGGTGAGGTCTCTTGGGGTTCCGAGGTCACCGAACGGTCTGTCACCGCACCGTTTCGGGACTCCAAATAATTTATTCAAGACGCTTCGCGTTCACCGCCCGCCCATTCCAGTTCTCGCCGGACGAGGCGAAGACGGCTCCATGACGGGATAAACATAGGCAGGAATTCATACAAGTCGTGTGTTTTGTTGTTTTTGTCCCGCGTTCTCTCTTCCTATGCTATCGCCTACTATGCTCAGGCATGCCTCGTGGCTGTTCGACAGTAGGTTTGTCGTACTTGCTACTGTTAGTGGTGGTGGTGCTGCGGCTGGTGTTGCTGCTGGTGTTGCTGTTGTCGCTCCTGCTGGTGGTACGGTGCAGTGCGGGTGCGGCTGCTGCTGTTGGTCCTACTTCTGCTGCTGCTGCTGGCGCTGCTGGCGCTGGTGCTGATGGTGTCGGTGTTAGTGCAGCTGCTGCTGCTGCTTGTGGTGCCGCTGCTGTTGTCAGTGGTGGTGGTGGTGCTGCTGCTGCTGCTGGTGCTGGTCGCAGTGGTGGTGCTGCCGCTGCTGGTGGTGCTGCTGCTGTTGACGTTGCTCTCTGGGGGGGCCTGTCAGGGTGCTGCTGAGGCTCCGTCGTTGACCTCTTGGGGCTCCTCTGTGTCGGGTGTCACGCGCGCCCGATGTCTGAGAGACGTGAGTGGGCGCGCAGCGTTTTGTGTCGGTGTGCGGGCGTCAGCAGGTGTCAGTGGCGGCATGCTCCCGTGGTGGGCTGGTGTCATGCGGTGGCGCGGCATTCCCGTAGTTCTGTCGCGCTCGTGCAGTCGACTGGTCCGATTGTAGGGAAGGCGGCATGCTCCCGTGGTGGGCTTGTGTCATACGGTGGCGTGGCAGTCTCGTGGTTTTGTCGCGCTTGCGCAGTCGATTGATCCGATGGCAGGGAAGGTGGCTCTTGGAGTGGGTTCTCCAATGGCTGACCAGATGACTGGCCCCAGGTGTGCCGTGGTAGATGTCTGGGTGCTTGTCCCGACGGTTGCCCGGATTCTTTTCCCGTTGCTAGTCTCGGCGGTTGCCCGAGCGGTTGGTTGCCCCGACGGTTGCCTTGGCGGTGATCCGGCCGGCAAGGCGCCAAGAAGGCCCGAAGAGGAACCCGAAAAGGGCCCAAAAAGAGGCTAAGAAGGCCCCGAGGCGGTCTGGGGGAAGCCCAGGGCGGCTCAAGCGACAGCACTTCCGCGTTGGGTCGCAACCGCGTCCGTCTTGCAGTAAAAACCGCGCGGGGTCTGACCTGGTTTGGGGTCCGTTTTGCGGCGCAACATAGGCCCCGCAGCATCCAAATTGGACCCCGGAGCGCGCCCAAAAACGGCGAACAAAAGGGAATGATGAAAAATGACGCACGCGAGCCCGGAAATCAACTGTAAGCAGTGTCCTGGACAGCCCCGGGGAAGCCGAAATCAGGCCAAAACCATAGTATTTGCTATTTTTCTGACATCCCCACGTGTCGGCGAGAATGAGCCAAAGAGGCGCTGTCGAGGGCTCCGGGAGCGGATATTGGAGGCTAAGAAGGGGCCCCGACGGGGCCGAAATGGAGCCCACAGGCGCCCCGGCAGCGTCTTCAGAACGATACCAAGATCGAGCTTGTCTTCGACGCCGTCGTGGAGCCGTTTTGGAAACCGAAAAAGGGCATTGCCGCAGCCGGGCGGCGGAATGGCGGAGGCCTCGGGGGGGGGGAAAAAGGGGGAGGGCTAAAGCTCTGCAATTAAATCTCACACGCCCCTCAGCCCGGTGGGCGGGCATATTTAATCGCTTCGCTCATTCCGCCGGCCCTGGAGCGCTATTTGGGGCCTCCTCGGGCCGTCTTGGGGGCTTTTTGGGAGCGTCTTGGGGCTCCTTGGCGGCGTCTTGGGCTCCCTCTCGCACAGGTGGTCCAGTCCAGTCCAGCCCCCTGGGGCCTCTTAGGGGGCTCTTGGGGGCCCCTTGGGGCGGGAGGGGGGGTAGTCGATTGCAGCCACCCCCTCGGATGCCACGGTCCTCGTGAGGGATGGCGAAAAATAGCCTCCCCCTTGGGGATCTCCCGCGACCTGGCCCGGGATCAGCCGGGGGGTATTTTTCGTCCGGGGGCCCCCAGGGGCCGCCCCGCGCGCGCAAACTAGAAATATTGTTAAGTAGTTACCAGAGATCTTAGCACGCCTCTGGCCCGTTGGGCCGGCGAATTGACAATTCGTTCCTTTCCACAATCCGCGTGTAGAAGGACGTGCCCGACCTAAGACGAGCTGCCGGCGATCCCACCGGCAGGACGGCGCCGCGCCGGGGCCCCCTGCCGAGGCGCACGGCGTGCAGCCGGGGCTGCCCCCGCGGCCGCCAGAGGAGGGCCCCGACCCCGCGTTTCGGGGGCAGCCGTCGGAACACAATCGGGCCGAGGTAATTACGCGATCGAGGTCGAGGAGGAGGAGGAGGAGGAGGAGGAGGAGGGAGGAGGAGGGAGGAGGAGGAGGAGGAGGAGGAGGAGGAGGAGGAGTTCTTGGAAGCTTGATCCTCTCGTCTCTCTCTCTCCCTCGACTCTCTCCCTCCCTCCCCCCTCTGCTCTGGATTCTGTCCCCGCCCGTCCTCCTGCCTCCCTCTGCCGCTCCCGCTCTGGTTGTCCGTGCTCCCGCTCTCCGTCCTTCCCTGACCCCGTCTCCAGTCCCGCTCTGGTTCCTGCCCTGCTGCCACCCTTCACCACCTCCATCTCCTTTCCCTTCCTCTTTTTTTGTTTCTTTCTCTCTCTCTCTCTTTCGTTTGTTTTGTCCTCTCTCTCTATATATTCTATATACGGTCGGACCGAGGCATAAGATCGAGGTCGGTTCGGGAAGGGTTTCCTGGCGTTCTTCGTGTTTGTCTGATGTTTTCGTGTATCCTGGGGAGGGAACCCTTGGATGCTCTGCCTGCTTGGGCCGGCGGAGGGTCTCATGTTCTTGAGGGGTATTTTTCTGGGCCCAGGTCTGTTTGTAACCCAGGGGCGGGCATCACAGGTGTCTCCCAGGGATTCTCGCCGGAGACATGAAGCCTCGGCGCCTCTGGATACGTGTAAAATTCAGGAGGGAAAGAAACACACAGACACAATTAATCCTCGATTCCCCAGAAAATGTGGGAAAACATGGGAAATGGGGGGAAGACAGAAACCCAGAAAAGATCTGGAAAAAAATGGGGAATCTGTTTATTTGTGTGTATTTCTTTGTTTGTCCTGCGGCCCGTTCAAATGTGCTTTCCTGTGCTATATTCGCCCCCATCGTCGCCGACGGGTCCTCCTGCTCGCCTGGTTTCCTGCACTTCCCGCCGGGTCCCCGCGCATGCGCCCCGCGCCTGGCGCGCCCCCCGCCGGTATACCAGCCCTATTGCGCCTGCGCTTGCCGGCGCTGCAGGGGGAACAAAAACAAAAAACGTTTGGGGGCAGCGACTGCGGGGGGACGGATGTCGTTTTTTTGCTCATGTGGGCCCTCTTAGTCATTTTCGGCTGGTCCGCGGAGGACACGCCGACGGCCGCGCCAGCGCAAGTTCGGGTCAGTCGGTCGCCGACGACGGCGGCAGCGATGACGGCGACGACGGCGAAGAGGCGACGGCGCCGACGACGGTGCAGGTCTCCCAAAAAGACGTCACAGGCATCGGACAGAACGCCCGACACACCACGCACGAGCCAGGTGATGGTTTTCGTTTTCATTGTTTTGCCGATCAGCACGGGCCCTCGCACCCCCTCCCCCCCCCATGGAGTAGATCTTGGTTGTTTTCGGCGCCTGTTTCAAGCAGGGAGAGTCCCCCCCATGGGGCGCACTGTTGCAAACTGTCGCGTGAGGCAGAGGTCTGGGAGCCAGACCCCTACCTCCCCCCCCTCCGCCCAATGTCGTAACGCCGAAGAAGAAGAAGAAGAAGACGTTCACCATCCCTGCTCCCTCCTCCACTTCCCTTCCGCGGCGGCGATGGCGGCGACCCCTCGGCCTCTCCTGGCTTGGCATCGCTCGGACGTGTGCATTCCTTTTCGGCGAGGACCATCGAGGAGCATCCTTGACAATGTAGCGAAAAATGCTCACACGAAATCAAAAAATGCACTGGGAATGGACGTCCGAGGGATGGCGAGCTGGGGCATTTTCCACACCTGGGCACGGTCTCCTTGCTGCCGGCGAGGCCTGCCGCCTCCCCCCGCCCCCGGCCTGTTTCGAGACCCTCGAGCTCTCGAGCCCTCGACCCATCGGCCCTCGACCCTCTCGACTAGACGTAAGAGTGACCTTTCGCCGGAGTGACCTTTGGTGCGGGCACAGATGGGTTCCCAGATGGCTGAACACGAAGCAGGAGCAGCGGCTTGCGCGCCCAGGTTTGGTCCTTCCGCGGCCCCCCAAAAAGCCGCGCACCAAAGGTCACTCCTACCCAGGGTCACTCTTACGTGTAGCCAACCCTCGACCCTCGAATCGTCCCTGCTCGAGGCCCAGAGAGTCGGGGGTGGGCAGAACCCCCAACAGTGACACGTCGATTAAGTGAATTGTCCGTTTTCGGTTCTCGAGAGGGCGCCACGGCCATTATTTTCAAGGCTTGCGCCCGCCAGGTTTGGGCCTCCGGTCGTTTTCACTAAACCACGTTTTACTAGAGGGAGGTCTGTCCATCCCCGAGAGCGGCCGACGAGCCCTCGGCATGGACCCTCGACCCTCGAATCTTCTGCGCCCGAGGCCCAGTGGGACCCTCGGCCCATCGACCCAGCGGCCCTGGGACAGCTCGCTGCCAACCGGGAGGCTTGGGTCAGCCTCGCGGACTCCCGCACACGGCGCGGCGCGGCGGGGTCCACCACTGGCGTGCCCGAGCCCAGGGTTTCCGTGCCTCTCCCAGAGACACAACGCCCCCCAGCACCCCAGCACTGCCGGCGTCCAAGCACCCGACCCTCGATCCACGATCCGCCGCGACCATGGCGACGGCCGCACCGACGTTGGCGACGGCGACGACCGCGACGGCTGCGACCCCAGACGCTCGACGACATGATGCTTCCACTGCGCGGCCCCAGGAGGTCCCGGCCCCTGCCCTGGGGACGGCCTTCTTCGCCCCAGCTTCCCTCTTGATGGCCCCCCCGGGGCCCGAGTTCGGGGCCCCCATACAGTCAAAAACCTTAGTAAGGACGCGCGAATTTGCTCAGGGTGCCCTTGCGTCCTTGCTCTTCCTTGCTCTTACTTCCTTGAGGTTTTCGTCGTCCGCCGCCCCAGAAATCCCAACTTCGGCTTCCAGGGGTCTTGCGTCCTTACCGCGCGTCCTTGTTAGGGTTTTTGATTGTAGGAAGCGGAGATCGAGGAGCCGCGCCCGCATCGCGAAGTCATGCCGGACAGCTGCAGCGGCGGCGGGGGCGTTCGCGAGGGCCGGCGGCGGCCAGCCGGCGACGGGCCGGCGGCGACGGGCGCGCCGCGCCTTCCGGCATGGGCGGCAGGGCGAGCCGCCCGCCGCCCCAGCAGCCGCGGGGCTCCCGGCAGAGATGGAGAGGCGCGTCGTTGCGCCCCCCCCCGGCGGGCAGTGCCAAGTCGAAGTTAAGAACATCGGGCCAGACGAAAGGGGGAGATTGGGAAAGGGGGGGTGCGAAATCTGCTGCATGCAGCTGGAGGTTCGCCCCGAGGAGAGGCCCATTCCTCGACACATGGCCGCCTCTGGCGCCGGGAGGCACCGGGAAAATCAGCTGCGTGAGCTGATTCTCAAACCCCCCCTTTGCTATCCCCCCTTATTTCGCCCGACCGGGTTGCGCCCCCTGGCGGGCAGTGCCAAGTCGAAGAAGAACAAACGGCAGAAACATAATTTTTTTGGCGCTCTGCGCGGATTTCTTGGATCCGCGCTGGGCCCCCTGGGCGGCGCCTCCAGTGCCGCCCCTGGCGCGCTCCGCGCGCCGGAGGGGGCCAGCGCAGATCCAAGAAATCTGCGAGGAGCGCCAAACGTTTATGTTTATGCCGTTTTGTCTTCTAGCTGATCGGCCCACCCAACAGCGTTCTGAGCGTGTGTTTTTGGTTTGCGCGAAGTGCTCTGCGAAAATGTCTGGCTTAGACTGTCTTGTTTTAGTGCGCCGGGAGTTCTGCGGGGCAGGACGAGGAGGAGGGACATTGTTGGGGGGAAGCCTGGAGGAGGGGGGGAGGAGGAGGAGGAGGAGGAGGAGGAGGAGGAGGAGGAGGAGGAGGAGGAGGAGGAGGAAGGAGGAGGGGGAGGAAGAGGAGGAGGAGGATGGGAGGAGGAGGAGGAATGGAGGAGGAGGAGGAGGAGGAGGAGGAGGAGGAGGAGGACAGGAGGAGGAGGAGGAGGAGGAGGAGGAGGAGGACAGGAGGAGGAGGAGGAGGAGGAGGCGGCGGTTTTCGAGGGGGGAGGAGGAGTGACATGTTTTGGGGAATCCTCGAGGGAGGAGGGCAGGTGTGCTTGGGAGTCCTGGGAGCTTTCCCCACGCCTCGGCCGGTGGGGCCGCTACTGGAGCACGGGGACCATCGAAGATGGGTCCCAGGGCCATGGGGCAAACTGGAATATACTTTAGTCGGACCTGTTCCTCTGTAAGAGGCATATTCAAAGATAGTAAAAAATAGTCTGGGGACGACTTTTCTAATATTTCTGTCTATGTTTGAAGATCGTTTGACCATGCTGCAGGAGGGCATGCCCAACCTAAAAGCGCAATCACAAATCAGATCGTCGGGTGTCTGTGGTTGCGCCGGGGTGTGTTGTCGTCGATCTGCGCCGCTGGGGCTTGGGGGGGCACTGCGTAGCGCACAAAGGCTTGATGGGCCCTCGCCGGGGCGCGGCGGAGAACTCTGTCGAGGTCCTCGCCCGCCCCCTCGGCGCGCCGCTCGCGAGTCGCCGTGAAGCAAGCTGGTTCCGGAGAGAAGCAGGCTCTGCAGCTTTATCGTCGCTCTTGGGCCCACTGGGGGCCCGCCATGGACCCCAGGACCTTCAAAGAACGACTCAGGACGAGGAGCTGATCCTGCGTCCTGGGGGAAACCCCTGGGGTCCAGGACACGTTTCCTTCAGAACACGTTTCCCTCAGAACCTGTTGGTTGATTCACGCGTAGCAAGGGGAGGCGGACTTCTAAGAAGGCGCGAGAGTTTCTGAGAAGGCGGGGGCCTTCTTTATAAAACCCTCCCAGCTCCTGAGGCCATGTTGGAGGGAGGACGGATAGGGTTTAGGCCTCTCAGATGGGGTCCGAGTAGATGGGGTCGGAGGATCGCGCCGCATCGCCGATGCATCGGCGATGCGGCTCGATGTGGAGCCCTTGTTTCTCCACGCCGACATCGCCGATGCATCGCCGACGTCGCCGATGTATCGCTGGTTCGTGGCCGATACATCGGCGATGTATTGCCGAGAAATCGGCGCTGTGGCGCGATCCTCCGACCCCATCTACTCCGACCCCATCTAGGAGGCCTCTAGAGGGTCGACCCTCGAGGACCGAGATTGTTTGGGCTTTCTTCCTTTGTAGGCGTCTGCGAGGCTTCTCGTCGCCATGGCTGGGTTCCTGTGAAGGGCTGGTCGAAAGGCTCCCCCTGAGAAGTCCAGGAGTTGATTTTTGAACAGGGGGCGAGGGGGGTAGGTGGTGGTGCAACGGTGGCATGGCAGTCAATGTGTGCTCACAGGGTGGAGTAGGAGGGCGGATGGAGGGTGAGAGAGGAATTCGGGAGGAGGGAGGACGGGGAGGGTCGAGGTGCGCGGGTTGAGGTTTTAGGGCGCGTCTGGTCCTTCGCGAGAAAACCATCCATTGACAGAGTCGCGAGGTTAAGGGGCACACGTCACAGAAGAGATGATGCCAGATACCTGGGGAGTTGGGAGGAGGAAGAGGAGGTATAATCGGCCAGCCCCTCGGAACTCTTTATTTATTTCCTCCACTCCACTCTCGTCCACTCTGGACCTCTAAGTCTATGTTGTTTTCAATACGCGGGCCTCCCGACCCCCCAAATTCGAAAACGGCTCCAGACGGTGCAGGGTCGACAAACGTTTGCCCTGACTAGTTCAAGACGTTGGGTGTCCTGTGTCCTCTTGGATGGGGCAGGCAGAAGGAAGAGGAGGATGAGGAGGCGGAGGAGCATGAGGAGGAGGGGGGGCGGGAGTGGGGTAGTGGGAGGAGCAAGTGAGGGAGGTTCGCAAGCCACTGAGGCAGGGGAAGAGGCAGATGCAGGTCAGAGAGAGGAGATGCAAACGTGGGGTGGGGGCGTCCAAAAAAAGGCGAGCGATTGAGGGGGGAGGGGGAGGGGTGGGGAGGGAGGAGGAGGGGGAGGCAAGCCATGTGCGCAAGCGTCTCATCTGGCGTCCTACTCCCGCCCATGCCTGATCATGACGTAGATCTCCTCTCTATTCGCACAGTCGGATGTCGTTGTGTGGCATGGCAGTGCATGGGGTTGAAAGCTGAAGCGTAGCATGACAGAGCATGGCGTGGCACTGCGAGGTCAAGCACCGCATATCATAGCATTGCAGCAGATGGCGTGGCATCGCACAGCGGAACACAACATAGCATTGCATTGCATTGCATGCCATGGCATGGCACTGGAAATGAGGCCAGCGCTGCAGCGAAAACACGATTCGGTACGAGCAGAATCGCGGACATGAGGCCAGCGTTGCAGCGGGAGCACGATTCGGATCGAGCGGAAGCCCCAATATGAGGCCAGCGTTGCAGCGGGAGCAACATTTTGGAAGAACCGAAAGCGTTCGGATTGGAAACGCACGCATCCTATGGACCAACCATCGTTCGGATTGGAAACGTCCATATTGGAAACGTTTGGATTGGAAACGCGCGCATTTTAGTTTTTGAAGTTTGGACCAACAATCGACTTCGCAGGCACCCTATAGGTAATATCACTACGCGGAGGGGGGCGCGCTCCATCTAAGGGGTCTTCGGGGGGGAGGAATAGTATTGGTATTGAGTCACCGTGGAGGGGTGGAGGGAGGAGGGAGGAGGGAGGAGGGAGGTGGAGGGAGGAGGGAGGTGGAGGGAGGAGTGAGGCGGGGGGGAGGGATCAGGGAGGAGTTATGGCGGCATGCAGGGAGGGAGGGAGTAGAAGCAGGAGGAAGAGGACGATCGTGGCGTGATCTGCGCACGGGGGGCGACCGTGGACACAGCCCGCGCGGTGGGGGCACCTCTGCCGCGCCAAGCTTCTCCGGCCCAGCTGTATAGGAGTGCTGTACTCCAAGCGGCAGCTGATGACGCTGCGTCATAGCTTAGCGCCAGCCTGCTGCGCAAGCCCGCCCCCCCACACGAACGGACCCCAGCACCATGAGCTGATGGCATGGGTCGCGTGTGTGTCTGTCCCCTCGGCTGAGCCCAAGTGGCCTTGATCCCTACTTCGTAGCTCATGATTGCCTCTGCCGCCGCGGCTCCCGCGCCGCGAGCGCGTCTTTCCCGTGCCTGCCCTCTTCGCCGTGGCCCCAGCTTTCTGGCGTCCACTTCGCACGAGCTGCTCTCTGCACCGCAGCTGATCGCTTGTGCACTGTGCGCCCTGCCGTGCAGGGTGCACCCGTTGACGCACGATCTGATCCCTGCCGTGAAGCTGAAGGGCATGGATCCTGCGTGCCGTCCCTCCTGCCACAGCCCGCCCTTCTCTCAAGCCGGGCGGGCCCGGCTGTCCTTCGCCCTCACACGCGCCTCCTTCTCGAAGTCGCTGTGGTGGTTTGCATGCTGCCACTGCCTGCCTTTCGCGTGTGCCGTGGCCCGAGCGCTGTATCAGATGTCGGTGGGCTCTTCTTCCTGTTGCGATTTGCCGCCGTTGCACCCCATTCTCGCTGTCCACTCTGCTGCCTGCCTTTCGGCTGGGGTCGTCGGGCGGGCCTGGTTCTCCTTTGACACTCGCATTCTCGCACGAGCTGGCCCCTTCGCTACCTGCTGCCACCGCCTACGCCTCTCGCCGGTCGTGGCCCGAGCTCTGTAGTACTTGCCGTCAGGCTCGGCTTTGTCCCTCCGTTGGCAACCACTGCTCGCCTTTTCACATTTGTTGCTGCTGCGAGCTGACTCGCGCAGCGGCGCCCGCTGCTTTTTGTCGCCCCGTGGCTGTGCCAGACGCCGTGGTCCGAGCTTTGTAGCTAATCAGATGTTCCTCACGGCCCATCGGCGCCCGCGTGCCGCTAATCCCCGCCTTCTCTTGCAACCGTCGGAGCGCATTCTTACAACGTCCGTCGGTCGGTCCGTCTGCCAGTTCACACGGAGATCACGCAGCCCTTGAGTCCACGCGCCATGAAAACGATGCGGACTCCTGAGGATAGGAGTTCCCTGGCGAGGGGGTTGGGGAGCTCTTTCGATGGCGGGGTGGGGACGAGAGGCGGGAGGTCGGACGCGGAGTGAACCGCGAGGCCAGCGCGAGATTGCGCACCCGGTTGTTGCCTGTTCCCAGTCCTGCAGTTGATGACGTTGGGCTTCTGTGTCTTTATGGCTCTGGGCGGCACTGCCATTCCCAACTCACGAAGTCGGGTCCCTTCCCGAGAGGAATTACAGGAGGTTTTGGAAGAGGAGGAGGAGGAGGAGCAGGAGGAGGAGGAGGAGCGGGACGGAGAGGAGGATGAGGAGGAGCAGGATGGTCAGGAGGAGCAGGAAGAGAGAGGAGGACCTGGATGATAGGGAGGGGTGCAGGAAGAGCCAACCGCTGGCGCGCAGGCGGCGAGCGCTCTCGAAGCCTACTCCCACGATGCAGGCGGGCCTCCAGTCGGCTCGCGCCCGCCCGTGCTGCCGCCGCCTCTGATACTTTTGTACACATGGCTAAACATGTTGTGTATACGTGCGCACTTTTTACACCTGTGTGCACATACTGCATGTGCATAGTTTCACAGACCCTTCTTCTTCAAATGTCTCCCTACCTCTGTCTCTCATCAGTTTAAAGGTAATGGTATGTGCTGAGTAAGTGTTGTTTGTTTGCTTATTTGTTATTTGCTCATTTGTTTGTGTTTGCATTGTTATGTGCTGAGTAATTCGTTTAACTATGTGTAAACATACATATTCACATACACATATATACGTACATATACATCTACATATATGTATATATATATATAGACATACACACAGCGGTAGCGTGTTTCTATATATGCACGCTGCACGCTCGGCTCGCCCGCTCGCCCGCTTTGGGGGTGTCTTCTCGTGCGCTCGCTCTTGCCCGGCGCCGCCGCCCCCTCGCTGCGACGCGTGGGAGGTTTTGCGCCGAGGAGCGTCGCGGCCGCCGTCGCGTGGCGTCGAACGACGCGAGAGAGCCAGTGGGAAAACAACACACAAGACTGTGTGCTTTTTGCCACTGTGTGTGTGTTTTGTGTGCTTTTTGCCACTGTGTGTGTGTGTGTGTGTGTATTTTTTTGTTGTTTGTGTGTGTGTGTTTCCCCACTGTGTGTTTTGTGTGTGTTTTTTTTCCCACGGTGGCGCAGGGGAGGCTCCCGCGAGGTTGCCACAGAAGCGGGGCGCTCGCCCCAGAGGCTCGCGGGTCCCCGACCCGAGCTGGGACCAGCCACGACAGGTTGATGTTGCCGAGATGTGAGGAGGGGGGGAAGGAGGAAGG